CCCCCCCCCCCCCCCCAAAAACAGTGAAATGTATAACACACGACGATAATGAGACAGACACTGTAAGCCACATTTTCTATAACATCATTTATGTACACGTATAGCTGCATACAGCAATGGCAGGAAAGGGGATCCTAGCACACGTTTTACACCATTTCTGGGAGTGTGTGTGATTCGTGAGTGTGAGAGTCTCTGCTTTGAGAAATCTGTCAGGCACTTCCGAAGTTCCAGAATGTCCTAAAGCCTCCGTGTTGAGTCACCCGTCCGAGATTTCGCATCACTCTCGGGGGCGTGGTATTCTTCTCTACGGAGCGCCAAAGAGTCCAAAAGGAGCGAACAAGATCAAAAATGCCGACGTATCCTGGTACACAGGTGGGAAATGTATACAGTATACCACATGTAGGAACAGGCGTATTCCAACAAATTTACAGGCGGATAGCAAAGCTAGAATTACTCTCTGTACACGAGTTAAGAAACTTCTTTCTTCAATGCTCTCTATCAATGGAGAGGTACAGAATAGAAGTGAAGTATCTAAAGTTTTTGTTAAAAAGATTAATGTTGTTCCAGCAAGGAGGAAACTTGAGCACCTCTCACTGACATAAAGCAGTAACTTCATCTGTCATTTTGTGTAAACTAACGTAAATATAAAGAAAACAGTGTCAGTTAACCAAAAAAAAACAAAAAACACAGAACATTTAATCATGGTATCATCTCAAATCTAAATACTTCATCTTTTTCTCATATAATGATTTTTAAAAATTTGTGACGTTAAACATCCATGGTTCTATAGTACAGCATAAGCTTAAAACAAGAATGCATAGTTGGGATCATAAGCACAATTCACAAAAATAACAATCACCTACAGTTTTCTGAGAACATGGATCTGATTGGCTTACTGCAGTAACTACCTGCTGCTGACTGGCTTATTATAATTGACTGGCCACACCCACACTCAAGCCCCGCCCACCCACCGGCTAATGCGGGTCTTACTCTATAGGGATATAAGATTCACACACTAAATCTCTCGTTCCCAAGAGAAAGGGGCTTTTCCTAACAGTAAAAACCGTTAAACCTGCAAGGACATGATGGATAAGCAGATAAACGGCTATATTCACGTATCAAGCAGAAATATTAGCTGATACGAACAGTAACTGATCCCTTCAAAACGTGTCGGTTTACATACAGGTAATGAATGAGGAGTTATGTGTGTTGGGGGGGGGGCACACTGGGGGGGTCCGTGTCCGTCCTGGATGAGGGGACCGGAATCGCGAAGCGGCGATATGTTTACCGGACTCTTTCTTATCCATGAGCATCACACATTATGTGTTATTTAGAAAAAAAATAATAAAAAGACACAGAACAAAAGTAACACTTGAAAAATGCGATATACAAGCTGCAATTAGATTAGGTAACACTTTCCGGTATTTAGCGTTCCAGGCACAAAACGCTGCCGCTGCCTCTCCATTCAGGACAAAGAGTCGGACTTTTAAATCCATTACGAGCCTCGCATTACCCTTGCCTGCACCCACATCCCATAATGCACGTTGTGTAAGCGCTACACCGCCCACCTGAAAGTCAGGGGGGAGACAGGAGTATGGAAAAGGAGCATTTCTCTGAGCTATACCGAAAATGACACCCCATCTACAATCGACTAAGAATGGGCCTTATGGTGAATAGCGAAAGGGGAGTCCGTCTTCATGTCTGCCTCTCCGCACTGATTTGTGTCACGAGTCGGGCAGCTGCTCTGAGAGGGAGCCCGTGAATCGCCGGGCAAGGGCCAGGAGCTAACTAGGGTCACGACCCCGCACCTCAAAAACCAATTCAGATGATCAACAGGTACGCCGACCAACCAGCTGCAGCTGGCCTGATCAAACCAACACTGCTTCAAAACCATTGCAGAAAACAGTGTATATTCATATATACACACCTCCCTCATATAGCCAGGACCTAAAGGGGCGAGGAAACAATTATTATTATCAAATCTAATGAAATCCCAAGAGAGGAAAAGGTTCTGAAAAGGATGGAAAACACAGCTGAATGACTGCGGCCTGGAGACGACTTCGTCCTGTCCGGTGTGGACCACAGGGGCAATCGAGGGCCATCCGGCAAGTTAGCCACACGAATGGCCTGTGTGGCACGAGGAACAGACTATGATTTCAAGCTCCTGATTTGCATACATTTTTATATTTGCACTGATATCTGAGCACCACCCATATAGTGCAACATCTCAGCCCCTCTGCTGTTCACAAGTCCGGTTCCTTAATGGCTGCGCCACCTACTGCTCTCTGACTGTTATGACTTACATATTGAGTATGCTTACATATTATATACAGAATTGCAAAATTAAATACAGAAAAAAAGAAAGGTAAATAAGAATTTGACATTTTTAGCAATTAAAAAATATATTCATTATATGCATATTTACAGTAAATGTAGCAAGTTATACACTGCGTGTGACAGACCTCCAAATGTCACAGCAAACATCAATCCTGTATAAACTTTAAATCAAATCCAGTTTTCTAAAAGAAGCAACTGCAATTAGTTTTTTTTTTTTTGCTCCAATTTCATAAACTCGCTGTACATGATAAAAAAAATATCCTGGATGCTGTACACCTTTTGTCAGTTAAAAATCGATAAATACGAGGGTCATGGAACAAACCATAATTAAGAAAATGAGGCAGTGACCTTGAGCTGGTGTGTGTCTGTGTGTGTCCGTTAATGAATGCCCACCTGCACCCGTATATCTATCTGTGTGTCTGTGCATCTGCAGCTGAGCTCGTGATATCGGAGAGGCACTTGTTGCACGCCGAAAAGTGCTCTGTGGCATAAATAAACCCCCTGGTGATGCTGCCGGGTGGGAAAGGGGAGGGGGAGGGGCAGCTTTATCTCAAGTGGCCTGAATCATGCACGATGGGAAAGTCTCTCCCACTGCCAGATCGGACAGGAGTAGGATGGGGGGAATTTTTCCTTCTGTTTTGAACAAAGATGCATGTAGACTGTGGACCATGATCCACTTCCTGATGCACGTGACGTATTTATTCTTCTGGTTGCACCTGCACATTAAAGGGGCAGGCGCGTTAAAGGGGCAGGCGCGTTAAAGGGGCAAGCAAGTTAAAAGGGCAGGTGAGTTAAAAGGGCAGGTGAGTTAAAGGGGCGTGCGCCAAATCCCAGAGCCAGTTGAACATGAATAGACCCCTTACTAAGAATTACACTGTAGGGGGCACAACAGCTGACATACACGCAGCTGACATACTCGTGGCGCCCGCTAGCCCGACACCCAGCTGTGCGTGGTGGTCTTGACGCCGTGCGGGAAGCCCTGCGGCGCCGCCATGCCGTCGAAGTTGAAATCCAGTGACTCGCCGTCCATGAGCGCGTCGTGCAGCACAGACTCCATGTCGCACTCGAAGCGCTCCACGAACATGCCGTCCAGGTCGCTGGGCAGCCTCTCGTGGGGGTGGGGATGCACATGGGGGTGGTGCTGGTGGTGCTGGTGGTGGGGAGGCAGCAGGCCTGGCCGGGCGTAGCCGTTACTGCCTACACCGCTGTACCCAGCCAGCAGGCCTGCAGGGGGCGCCGTGTGGGGGTGGACCAGCTGGGGGTGCTGCTTCCTGTGGGCCAGTGGGTGGGGGTGGGGGCCACAGCCATTCAGGGCCACTGAGGTGGGGGGGCCCTGCCCATGAACAGTGTGAGGGTGGGGGTTCTGTACCTGGCTACCGTAGCCCGGATGGAGACGCCCCCCTCCGCTGGCGCCGGATGGCTGCGTCACCACTGTATCCACCGACGGGACGAGGTCGCCGCTTCGGGGGTCCCCATCCGCTGCCAGCAGCTCCTTGAGGAGCCCCGGCGAGCAGTACTGGTTCAGGAAGGAGCCGTAGGCCTGCTTAGGCTCCGCCAGCGCCGCCGCCTGGCCGTACAGGCACTTACGGTAGTCCTGTGTAGGCAGGGGTGCCCTGCTGGGGGTGCTGTAGACCGGGTAGCCAGAGGCAGCGGCCTGCATCATCGGCGAGGGGGAGGAATGGGCGGGGCCTCCGCCGGCGCCCACCCCGACCCCTGGCGGTGCTTTGGGAGACACCAGGTTGAGGTTATCCAGCAGGTTATCCATGATGTCCTCGGAGCCATGGGGACCCAGCGAGCCCGTCACCTCCGACAGGCTGGGCAGCGTGGCACCCATCTTGGGCCCGGGACCGGCCGTGTAGCCCAGATGCACCTCGCCACCGTCGGCCAGCTCGTCCGGCTCGGCCAGGAAGGGCGAGAGGCGGCCGCTCAGCGTGCTGGCGTTGGAGCTGGTGCGCGGCCGGAAGGTGGTCCACGCCTCGAAGTCGTCGGCGCTGTGCGAGTTGGGGCTGCCGGGCCACTTGGAGAAGGGCGGGGCCGGGCTGTCGGGGCCCCCGTCACGGCCCTGGTGGGACACCTGCAGCAGGGAGGGTGGGGTTAGGCCTCGGGGTTGGCGGCATGACCACCGAGAGTGTGGAGCACCATGCGAGCACGCAAGCCCACAGGAAGGCGACGGCTAAGTAGGGTGTTAATGCCACAGAGCAAAGGATGCTGGGTAAGGAAGGGTGTGTTACAGGTGGAGGTGCGGGGGGAGGAAGGGAAGGGGACAGGAGATGGCGAAGGGGCGGACCTTCTTCTTGGCGGCGCGCCCGCGGCTCTTGGCAAACTTGCTGTTGTTGTCCATGGATGCGGCACGCCGGCGGGGCGACTTGCCGCTCTTGCCACCCTCTGGGTTCAGCATCCACCAGGAGCTCTTGCCCGTGCCCTCGTTCTGGACGCGCACGAAGCGGCTGTGCAGCGACAGGTTGTGCCGGATGGAGTTCTGGATGGGGAGGGGAGAGAAGCGACCCATCAGACCTGAAGAGACCCCGAACCAAAACCGAAGGCTGACGAGGCTGGATTTCAAAGCCGCTATTCTCGACAGGCCGACGACACTGGCGGCAAACGAAAACAGCGAGAGACAGCGAACGAGGAGGAAACCAAGGCCGCCAGGAAAGGATCTGCTCGTGAGACACGGTGGAAACGCTGCAGGCGACTCTCTAAAGTTGCTGAGAACACCACAAATAAAATCTGCTAGGGGCTAAAGTTCCCTGGCCTGTTTCCCCCACAGCACCCCCTAACCACCAGACCCCGCCACTTTCACGTGTCGCTTTTATCTCCACTCATTTATCCACCTTTATCATACTCCTCAATCTCTTTCCTTTCTAGGGGTCAGGGAACGACCTTTTTCAAATTTCACCAGTTTTTCCACGTCCCCTGGGGAAAAAAACTGAAAAGCGTGAACTATTGACCCGTGAAGTGCGAACAGCTAGTCTGCAGCCTGCCAGCCCCGTGGGCAAAGCAGAAACTCTGACACACTGAGGAAAAACCCTCCCTTGTGGGACTGTCACTGGTATTTCTGTGCATCGCTGTGTTTGCAGATTGGTCGGTGAGATTCACCGTGTGTCCTTAAAGAAGTACACAATGCAATCCACACAAAACAAACACTGTCTTTAGAAATTTTCTCCTGTGTTAAATACTAGATCTCTTTGTTTTTGTGAGACAACTCCCCCCCCCCCCACTTCCCGCTGAGGTTCTCGCCTCACAATCAGGGCAGCCCAGCCCCACCCTTCCTAAATCTGTTATCTACAGTAAAAGCGCAGCCAGCGCTGTGTGGGTGTTTTTCTGTTACATCACTCTCACACATGGTGACCCCTCCCCTCGACCAATATCAGCCAATCAGCTATTACCAATGTAGGTCAGGGTGCTCCAAACCATGCCCCCTCCCATGAATTAATGGAGTGTCACACACTCGTAGATGGTGTCAGAAAAAGGAGAAAAGAAAAGAGAGGACAGAAGAAAGTGTGCATTTCAATATCTGCCCCCGACCTCCTTGCAAACACACACAGCACATGCCCCCCCCCCCCCCCCAATACATCTAAGGGCATAAAAATAGAAAGACATGGAAAGCAGCTCCACCGTAAAAAACAGCCTTCAAAATGAGGAAAGCAACTGACAAAACTGCTGCCCCTCCCATTCTGCAAAGATTGCAGGTTGGGGGTAATAAGGCGGGAACCCCACGTCGGATCGGGGGGGTAATAACGCGGGAACCCCACGTCGGATCGGGGGTAATAACGCGGGAACCCCACATCGGATCGGGGGGGAATAACGCTTGAACCACACCCCCTT